AACCATCAATAAACATCTTCAACATACAAATATATTATTACATTCCAATATACAAAGTTACATACTAATAGAAACTCTCTGCCTTAAACAAATCTACCTCACATAAAAAAAGCAGATCTGCACTACATTTTTGTAGGTCAATTTTTCGAATGGAGTATCAAATAACATTATTTCATGCTCGATTAAGTACACCATTTCATAAATAGAATAACCAAGAGAATATCTACTTGGAGACCACATTAGTACAAAAATTTCAACTGTATCAGATCCGAACGCTTCATATTACACAGGATATACACAAGAGCCAAATAGCACTTTCTTAGCAAACAGTTCGGAACACGAACCTCAATCTCCACTCGCGCAGCCCCCACAGCCGCAATGCACGCACTCCGACCTTCTCCTCACGCAGATGCTTCTGGACTCGACAGACGCAAGTGGTCTGAAAGTTATGGTCCCCGGGCCCATACACCTCAGGCAGCAGAGCCTCTCATAGCCGTGCTTTTTCCACTTTGCGATCAAGTTGCGGTTGGTGTACCCATGATCTAGACAAAATTCGTAAAGTTCGTTCGTGTTTATATAGAACTTAATGATAATAATGGCAAATTTGATAACAATAATCTTTTCTTTTATCAGAATTCAAATGCATCCTAAAGGGCAGCTACACTCGCACGACTGGTGGCGAGTTCCACCGCGTTGTGGGTGGTAAGCTCCATGAGCAATATAATCTCTTGGCCATACCAGCCGGCAGATGGTTGAACACCATGAAGCAACCCATGTAGAATATTGCCATATGGCCGATTTCCTTATCAAGCCTCGGGCTGCTTAAATCCATAACCAATATTTTAGATTGTGTTGAAAAAATAGAAAAATATAACATAGAAATTAAACCAATAGAATCATTACCTATCGAATTATTTTAGCGCTTCTTCTCCGACGAGCTGTGGCAAATAATTCGTGTTAAATTCTTAAATTCACCTGGACTTGAGATCCGACCCCAATTGTAAATCATAGACTAAAATTCAACGTTGTTATTTCAAAACATAAATGAAAATTGAGCAACATTAGAAACAAAACAAACCCAGCAACTCACGTATATGCAATCACAAAACAATCAATTAACCCCAACAACAAAATAAGGAAATCAAAATTAACCCTAAATCAGTAAACCACACCTTTCCGACTAGTTGTCCCTACCCCACGGCCACACGGTGCAGGCGGCAGAAGGAGGGAGCCGGAGAGGGAGATGATCTCAACGTGAGGGCGACGTTGGCGGCAATTCCGACAAGATGCAGACCATCCGATGGGACCCACGCCACAACAAGAAAAGTAGAGCGCGAAGGAGATGGCCGCCCGCCCATGGTCGGAGAAGGGGAGCAAACCGAGGTCGATAGGCGGAGAGGAGGAGGGGCGGCAGAGAATGATATGATTCGCTTCTGGAAGGAGAGTACGGGAAGGATTAATGATAGAGAAACTAGATCTATCTTTGGTGTTTTATAGAGAGGTTTTAGTTTTTGGGGTTTGAAATGAGATAAGTGACGTGTTATCCCCAATTATGGAATTAAATTGTCTAGAAATTCGTATTTATGAACCAAATTGAATAGAAGTGGATTAAAACTTTTGAATTCACAGTTAGGGAAATAAAAAGATATGAGGTAGTTAAGGGGGTAATTGTTTCTAGAATATATGTATGTAAATTTCCCATCAAATAATCAATAATTGGGCCAGCATTTTGCGAGCCCAACCCACTTACAACACATTATTCAAGCCTCGTGAGTAGGCACGGATGGTAAAGACGAACCTATATCATTCGCTAATAATATAACAATAGCAAGAGACAAAAACTGGAAGTCGCACCACAGACCATGCATACACGTGCAAGTAGACAATTTTTCCCACCTAAACGACGCCGAATTGCATTGTGATAGACACAAGTCCGCCAGTTTTATCTACACAAGAGCTTTGTACAAGCGACTTAAATATTTCCAAACCCTAAGAAAAGATAAAAGAAAAAAAAAACAACATAAGAAAAAAAAAAAAAGGATTCCACCCTCCAACATTTCTATCCTTGTATCCTTTCTCCACCGGTTCCAACTGAGTTACACAGCGAGTTAAACCCAGTCCATAAACTCATAACTGCCATTTGAATTCATCACAAAACAACGGCCTCTGTTGAGAGGAAAGATAACTACTTTTCAAACATTTTAATCCTGTCTGAAGGGGGCAACATAGGACAAAACAAATTTTCCCTCCAAATAGTTGTAACAACTAATTTTTCAAGCAAATCCTGGACACCATTGTCGTGAAGGGGCCAACATAACTACCTACCTATCTCCATACTGAACTGCATTGCCATTTCCATCTTCCAAATCCTCATCACCATCATCATCATCGTCGTCGTCGTCATCATCGTCATCATCATCATCATCATCATCATCGTCATCGTCATTGTCATCGTCATCGTCATCATCATCATCATCATCATCTTCTCCTCTTTTCCTCTTGTGGGAAGACAAAGAAGAAGAAGGCAGCAACTCCTGAACAACACCATCGTGGTCATCTTCAACATCATCCTCCATTTCAGGATTCTCTACTTCAACAATGTTATTAACTCCTACTTCCATCCTCCCAACTGGTTGAACAAGGTACCTCGACCCATAATCATCTTCCTGCCATAAACAAAGCACCACCAATCACACTGTGTCACTTATAAGTAAGAAAAAACACAGTATATTAATACTTGGCCCTGGTCCAACAATTGCAAAAAAAACATTCCACACACCCAAAAAAAAAAAAAAAGATCAAGAACTAAATTGCAACATCATGCAAATAAAGATCCACAACGTTGTGGCTTGTCAGGTACCTAGCACGATTCAACTGTTCAATGGTCTATTGTCTACGATACCCTTAAACAAAGAGGATCCATGGGTAATGCATCAACAGAAAATGTCTAATGCAACAAATAATGGAATGCACACACCATAACATGTCTCATCTAATATTAAGGGCAAATATCCAATAAGTAGAAACACTACATGAATCCAAAGAATGAATGCAGTCCACGTCAACAATTTTCCCAGCTTTCTATTGATCATCTTTTAATTCTTTTTCCAATCACCTGAGCCAATATTCTAAAGACAAAAGTGTATAACATGAGATAGTAGTAATAACTTCATTATTTTATCCGAATGAGAAAATATCCTCACAACTACCACAAATATGTTTAGAAACTCAAGAATCAAAGTCTTGTCAAATCCCGAAAAGAAAAAAAGAATAAAATATAAAAATAAAAACACCACCACAGTCCTGTTTGCGAAAAGTTTCTATTGGAATAAAATACCAAAACTTCAATTACACCATTTTTTTTTTTTTTTTTTTTTTTNTTTTTTGGCTACGAAACAACCAATAGTATTTAGTTATCTTGGAAAACCCCAAAACCAAGCATATCTCCACACCAAAAATCCTAAAAAACTCAAAATAGCCATGAAAGTCCTGTTTACAACAAGGAAGTTACCAAACACAACTCGTTACCAATAAGTATGGGCAAATCAAATTTATAAATGAGACTAAGGCTGATGCACTCACATTATAAATAAAATAATATTTCTCACCACTTCTACTTTTAAACTAAACTCTTCCCAAAGGAACTTCTATGTTATACCGAGATGCACTAAACCAGCATGGTGAAGAATCTGTGAAACCTTCCATGCCTGAATTATGCACTTCAAAATAACAGGAAAACCCTTTACTATTAGGCATATTTCCATTCACAATCAGGTTTAATATAACTTGGAACATAGGATTCAACATAGATGTTCATAATTCCTCAATAAGCAAAACAATCACCCATAAACTAAAAAAGGTATATGCAAGAAAAAGAACCTAATTACATAGAATAGATATGGGGGTGTGTGTGCGCACACACAAACACACATCCAATGCACAAAAAATACAATCCACACAACATTCAAATATATAATTGACTTGACACCTACTTAT